GTTTAACTAACCGAACGAAAAAAAATTTGTTCGTGTTCGTCTCGTTTACTTATCGAACGAATCGAACACGAATTCATTGATGAACCAAACACGAACTCTTCACGAATAACGAGCTTTTTTGATGCCCTAGTCGAGGGTCCATCCAGAGCTTTCGAAATTCCATCCCTCTCTAATCCCGGGTACTGTACCCAGTTCTATCGCACGTTCCTCCCTCCTTTTTCTTATTTTCGCTCAGCAGATGGGCTCCTGTGAGTTTCCGTAAGGCTTCTGCTTGGGGCGCTATCGACATGCAGAAAATTGATTTTGACTCGGGGTGAAATCTTAAGGCACAAAATTGATTTTAACTATAGTTGAGACTTTCATTTCCCTCATTTTACTTCTATTTTGAGATTTGCCTATTTTTTGTATATTGCTCGTTTTGAAATTGTCGTTAGAGGCGCAGAATTTGTGTTGGAGGTGTTATAAGTAGTTTGCGAGTTTTTGTAGGGGATTTAACATAAGGAAAGAGGAGATTGAGAAAATGGGAAGAAGAGAGAAGAACATTTGATAGCTTTGGAAAGACGAAATTGTGTCAGAAAGTCTATTTGAGGTATGAAAGTTACTTTTTGAGTTAATTTATTTTCTGAGCTGAAAATTTATAAAATTCCAAGATGTTTATGGCCAGGTTGTTTACTTGAGGTGGCAAGTTTGAGGCAAAAGTATAAAAGATCATTATAGGATGACTTCATAAATTTCAGGTAAAATATCCTCACGTTAATTTAAGAAAAATAATTTGATTTTAATAAAGACAAAAATATATGTAAAGAGTATAAAGTAAAAGAAAAGTTATGATAAATACATATAAAATATTAGTTTATATTCATTTATAAAAAGATCATTGATACTTGCATTAACATATAGAAGATTTCTTATAAAAATATGTAAGTTTTGCATATTAGAAGATTTCTTATAAAGATATAAAAGATTGACATGTCTATTGAATTTTTTTGCCTTGGGTTATTGTAGTTTAGGAGTATGATTACTCCCGAGTTATTTTAATAACTCAGTATGTTGCTTTAATATTATTTTTAGGTTTATACAAATGAATATGTTGCTTTAATATTATTTTTAGGTTTTATACATATGAATAGAAGATGATCAAATGTATATAAAACACGAGAATAACAAATGAATATATACAGATTTATACTTATTAATTTTAATTATTTTCTTTAGTGGTTCTTTCATGTATTATTTGAATATTAAATAGCTTGTGTAGAAATAGAATAACAGAGAATTGATTTCTACCGTCCGATCGTCCGTTCTCGTCTTGGTTAACTCCAAACCGCGAGTTGAGTTATGATAAAGTGGTGTCAGACCAAATACGTCCGATCGTCCGTTCTCGTCTTGGTTAACTCCAAGCCGCGAGTCGAGTTATGATAAAGTGGTGTCAGACCAAATGTTTAGATTAACAACATGAATCTCAATGAAAGAACCATTAGGATGATTGAATTAAGTTATAAATAATAAAAATTTAAATTTTAGCGTTGTCTAATTAAATTTAAATAATTTTAATTATTTCAGAATTTTGGAGGTCAGAGATGATTATGTAGAATCCGATGTATCTCAAAATGTCATATTCGGTGTTGATGCGTTTTTTGATATAATAAATGCCTTGACTCAGCTGATTAAGAATTCTCAATCTCAAGCTAGTAACAGTAGAGGGCTACCAATGGATAAGTATTTGAATCTCTTTCAGGATATGAGACCATATTTATTTTCTGGAGTAAGAGGGCTAATGGAAGCTGAAAACTTGCTTCTGAGAGGGGAGAAGATTATAGAATGGTTGTCATTTCAACCGAGGAGAAGAGTTTACCTTGCTACTTTTGTTTTTAAGGAAGAAGCTGAGAGATGGTGGCAAGGATAGATGCATGAGAAGTTTGGAGGTAGAACGAGCTACTTGGTGTCGCGAGACGAGTTTTTGAAAACTTTTAGAGATTGGTTGGTATCTCTGTTTAGCTAGAAGTCAGATCCAAGATAAATTCATTAGGTTAGTGAAAGGAGATCGATTAGTTATTTAATACGAAGCGGAGTTTACTATGTTATCGAGATATGCACCACAACTTATTCCAAATGCAAAAGAGAAATGTCACAAATTTCTTTCAAGATTGAAGGATTCGATCAGACAACCACTAATGCCACTTGGGATTGAAGACTATTCAGTACTAGTGGAGAGGGCTAGGTGGTTGGGGATTGATTTTCGACAGACTCAATAACATGGAGATTTACACAAAAGAAAGAGTTTGGAAGAAGTTGCACCAAGAGTTCATTCAAGAGAGTCTTATGGGAAGAAGGTAAAGTTCAACACAAGTGAAATTATTAGCCAGGTTGACAGTAGCACCATAGAACTCTGTGTTTAGTGTGGGAAGCACCATCGTGGAAAATATTTATTTGGTTTGAACTTGTGTTACTTATATGGACAACTTGGATATCAGAGAAGAAATTGTTATAATGTTGTTCTGAGATTCACATTAGATGCTCACCCAGGAAGAAATCCAGTTTAGATTAAATTTTCTCGAAGGATCTACATCTAGAATTGGTTAGCGGAGGATAACAAAAGCTAATATTGTGGCGTATAAGGAGCAATCAAGGCAAAACGTTCTACCAAGAGTTTATTCCTTAACCCATTAGGAACCAGGAGAACATGTTGTCGTTGATGATAATGCATAGAGTTTGATGAATGAATTATTTTTTTTGTGTTAGGTTGGATTTGTTAGATTTATTGTTTATTACATATGTTTTGGTTACCACTTTGCAAGAAACATAATTTTGTAATCATTTTATATTTCATCCTTATAAAATACATAGTTGATGTGGAGTTCATGAATTTCAAGGAAGAAATTTTATAAGCAGGGAAGAGTATAAGAACCAACTTTTGAGAAATTTGATAAAAGTTTTGCCGATATAAAATTTAACTCAAATTTTAGATTCTTTAAATTTCAATCGAGTTAATTTTAAAAATTCTATACATCAAATCGATCAATTCGATTTAAAACACTATATATAAATTATGAATAGATTGATAGATATACAAATCAAATATTATAATTTTAATTTAATTAATTAAATCTTAATTAACCCCTCCTTAATCCTGATTACTGCAAAAAATAAAGATTTTTTATAAAGTTAAATTCATATAGAAGATTATATATTCATTTAGAAAAACGTCATTGATATATGCATTAGCATATATAAGATTTTTTATAAAAATATGAAAGTTTAGCATATTGAAAGATTTCGTATAGAGATATAAGGTTACTGTAGTTTAGGAGTGTGATTATTCCTGTGTTAATTAAAGATAACCCATTTTGTTTTTTTATTTTTATTTTTAGACTTAGGCACTTAAATAAGATGAATAGAAGAGTATCAAATGTGTATAAAATACGAGAATAACAAATAAAAAAGTATAAATTTCTCCTTGTTAATTTTAATTATTTTCTTTAGGGACTGTTTCATGCATAATTTGAATATTAAACTGCTTGTGATAGAAATAGAATAACAGAGAGTTTATTTCCACCGTCCGATCATCTGTTCCCATCTTGGTTAACTCTAAGCCCGGTGCCGGATTGTGATAAGAGGTCTATGGAGAAAGTTTCTAACATGTCACAACTTCATTAAATAATATTTCTTAGCTTTGTGTGTTATATTAAGTATCAATTCCTTGTATGTTTTCTAATCTTACATTATATTAAAATCTTAGTCATTTGTTTTGTGGCTTTTCATTAAATTAATAGATTAACTCTAGCCTCAACTCTTACCTTTTTTTTATAATACTTTCTTGTTTTATAATGCGTTTCCTACATGCTAATCCTTTTTTTCTTTCGAAAAAATTTGCAACAGATAAACTTCCTGGTGACTGGTTGTTGGGTGGAGGTTGGAACAATGATATTTGGGGTGGAGAATTGCCTGCGGCTTCCTGGATAGATGATATTACACCTGACAACCCGGTATGTACTTTGTTGTTATTCAAATGGCTGGTTAACATGAATTATTTAGATGATAGTGCTTGGAAAGCAATGTGTAGGTTTGGTTCTCACGCATGGATGGTCATATGGGTTTAGCCAACTCCCTTGCCCTAAGGGTTGCTGGTGTCACCAACTTAAGTTTGAACCCTATTGGTGGGACAATCTTGAAAACCATAAATGGAGGTAATCGTTCAGATTACTTTAGTCTAAATGCATTTTCATGTGATTTACAACACATCATCATCCCAAATAACGTTGATATGTTATAACTCCATCAGATCTTGGAAAAACACATCTAAAATAAAGTATACTTGACAAAAGATGCTCCATGTTGTCTGTAGACAATTGTTAGCTAAAATCATAATTACATAACATTAATGAAATTGAGAATTTTACTTCCAACTATATTAATTTGATTAAAGATGAACACTAAGAGATTTATTAATCTATTTAAGTGATAGAAATCTCTTTAAATGATGAAGTCTTGTAGGTTCATTTTGTTAGATCAAAAATCCTAAAAAAAATTTTCATAATTTGAACTAACTTTTTTTCTCATATTCGTTCTTCTCCCATTAAGATGTATTACGAGCAACTTTTGAATGGATAGCTACTAATTTTTTTCAATAATGAGAGAGAAAAATTAACTGAAGTTAGCAGATAGTTATCTCAATTTAATGGGCCACTTAATTTTAAATAACCCAATTAAATTGTTAAACATTGTTTTAAATCAACATGAAACACATTTCTAACACCCTCTTACGGTCATACTTGGCCTTTTAATCTTAATTTCATACTTATTATCATATAAACATTTTGTACTCGATGAAAAGAGTAAAAAAAAAATACATAGTGTCGAGTCTTCTAAATCGAGTGTAACTCTCTATACATTATAACCTAATATTCCTTTCTACATAAACACAACGAGGCAAATGTCTTATGAATGAACATATCGTTTTATCTTTATCTTTTAAAGTATTTTCAAACTTCAATCAAAAGCAAACAAATTTCAAATGTTAGAGTTTTAAATACCAAATATTATTTTAAAATGAAAGGATACCTCAGTTACATAATAGATTTAAGTCCCATATATTTTAAATGTTTTTTTATCTAGTTTTGCTGGCAATGCTTAATTAAGGGATCTTGTTCTCCAAGTGAATGCTGACATACTAAATTTTTACCTTGTTTGCTGTAACATATTCTATAATGGATAAATATTTATGCCAGTGTTTTTTTGGCTCTATAAGAGACCTTTGTGAGAAACTTTATTTCAATGCATATCTAATCTCATGTTGAAATAAGCTCAAAGCTTAACTAGGCATACTTTGAGGACTTTAAAGCTATTAGCACCACCCTACCATCTTCAACCATCATTATTCCAAGTGGTCCCAAAGGAGGAGTGTAGGAAATATTCTAAGCAATACGGTTACTTAAGATATGTTGCTAGAATATTCTTCTTCTTCTATATATACTACCCCTTTTGTACTGCAAGGGTTAATGAAAAAGTTTAATGCTTGTATGTGCATGTTAATATGAGGACTTCATCACTTTGGTATTGGTCTGGGATACTAAAGTATCTGCTCACGTAGAATTTTTTCTATCATCCTAGACGATTGTAAAGTTTATTTCTCTAATTGTAGTGCAGATGAGAGAGTATCGGTCACATTTTTCCTATCATCTAAGACAATTGTGAAATTTATTTCTTTAATCGTAGTGCCAATTGGAGAGTGTCAGTCACATTTTTCCTATCACCTCAGACAATTGTGAAATTTATTTCTCTAATCGTAATGTCGATAGGAGAGTATCGGTCAGGGGTGAGTAGACATTCTACCATCTAAGACAATTGTGAAATTTAGATTACTAATTAATGTATTGACAGAGAGTATCGGCCAGAGGTGGTAAACAACTTTCTACCTCAAAAAATCGTGTAATTTAGATCAGAAACTGTTGTGTTGATATGAGAATATCGGTCAGAGGTGTTTTAAGTTAAATTTAGACGGTGCACCTGAGATGGATGTGAAAGTTAAGAGTATGAAGTGTTTTAAAAATTAACAACTTGCCTCTTAAAAGTAAAGTAAAAGTTAATGTATATAGAATTTTAGATCTTTTTCATTAAGCAAATGTTATGAATATATAAATTAGATTATTATATGCTTTTCTATAATGAAATATGAAAATTCAGCATACATATTGTCTTCTTTTTCTTGAATTATTATAGTTTAGAAGTGTGATTACTTTACTGGGTTATTTTAGATAATTCATTATGTTGTTATGATATTTTTCATGTTTAAGTTTTTGAATAAAAGATGAGTAATAGAGGAGATAATATGTATTGAAGACATAGTCAACAATTGGAAACATAAACTTTTATTTGTTAATCAAATTATTTTTTTTAGCGACTCTCTCAATTTATATGTATTATAACTTATTAGTGATAGTAATGAATAATATAAAATTTAATTTCACTGTCCGACCCTTTGTTCTTGCCTTAATTAGTTACAAGTCCTGAGTTGGGTTATGTTAAGCAGTTTGTTTTCATTACCAATATTCAACGTCTTCATCAAGCGGAGTAGATATGGAGGTGAACAATATATTTACAAAATTCTTGGATATCGTTATTCTCAAGGTAAACATCCTTTGGACATTCTTACAAATCCAACAAAATATTTCTATCAATCATATGGTTTGTAATTAGCCAATACCAAATAATTTCTTACAAACTATGGGTCTCTTTGGGGATTGAATACTCTGTTGATAAACTGATTAAAAATAATCTGTTGATAAATTAGGTGTGGTGGTTATTTTAAATTTTATTTTTTTGGAAAAGTCAAACCGTTGCTAGAAAGCTGCCGCCGCACCTATCTAGGTGAGGTGTGAAAATGTTTCTTTCAGCGTTTTCAAAACGCAGTTTACCCAAATAGGTTAGGTGCATTTTCAAAACACCACCGCATCAAATAAGCTGCCCCAAACGGACCCTATATCACAGTTTTAAATTTTATGCTCTGTGGGCTCCTTTTTTCTATTTCCGATCCTGATTTTGACTGTTCTGAATGTGTGATGATAACAATGACCAATTGCCACACTGATTAGGACAAAATTTCACATGCTGCAGATCCTACTGGTCTTTTGATTGATTCTGCAATGAAGCTTGTTCTTACGGTAATCCCTGAAATCTCGGTCCATGGAAGGCAAGATGCCATGATTAGGGCAAGCAAGTATGCCTTGATGAAGGGAGTGACCACCATGGTTGATATGGGAAGGTACTTTACTGGTGCACCTGTTGATCATTCTTGGCAAGATTTCAGAGGTTAGTATTTTCTTTATTAGCAAATGTTCTGTAACTGTGACTCTACGCTCTATGATCAACTGTAATTCTGCAGAAGATGGGAATATTTATAACCTAAACATTATTCTCTTGTGAACAGATGTTTATAAGTGGGCTGATTCTTCTGGGAAGATGTTGATAAGAGTGTGCTTGTTCTTTCCAATTCAAACGTGGTCTTTCGTAAGAGTATGTCTGAAATATATTTCTTAGCCCCTTCTACCAGCTGGTACTTAGCTAGTTAAATTTATAAGTGAGTCTATTTTGAACAAGGGCATCATTCATAAGAATTTTAAGATTTTATTACTTGTGTGTTTCTGTTGAATCAAGGGACTGTTTAGACGACTACAATAGGTGTGTGTGCGTTCCTTTTGCAGTACTTTTAGGATTTCAGGCATATGGCATGGAGATTTATAATTCAATGAAAAATAGGAATGGATTTAGAAATCATTCCTTTGTTCATTTTTAGTGAATTTGAAATTCAATGGATTTGGCCGAATTTCAAGTACATAGGCTCCATCCAAAGAGTCTTTGCCGCTGGTTGCCGCTGCCGCCGCCTGCCGCGGCTGATGTCGGCTGCCACCTCCGGCCATTGCCGCCACTAGTGGCCACCTCCAGTCGTTTCTTATGTCAACCACCGTTGCCGCCGGCCACCTCTCTCCACCGCCGCCTCCAACTGAGTTTTCTAGCCACCGCGTTGGTCGCCACGGACCGCCGCTCCTAGCCGCCACCTCCAGCCACCGTCGCTCCTGGCTGCCACCTCCTCGCTCCTGGCCGCCACCTCCAGCCACCATCGCTCCTGGCCGCCACTTCCAGCCACTCCCGCTACCTCAAGCCACCACCACTGACACTACCGGCCGCCACCTCTAGCCACTGCTACCACAGACCATCAACACCGCTGCTAGTTGCCACCTGTCGTTACCTCCAGCAACCACTGACGTCGGCGAACACCTCTGACAACAGCTACCTTAGGCCACCATCGCCTCCAACCGCTACCTCCGACCACAACCCAACCATCACTATTACCACTGCTGTCATAATTTATTAAAAATTCCACATATTTAAAAATACATTATTTTCATTTCATTTTGAAGCAAACCAAAAAAAAAAATGTCGGTCGTTTATTTGGGAGTTAGCCAAACAACTCAAAATTACTTTAAATACAATACATTGCTCCTGCATTGCATTCATTTTACGCTACATTATTTTACGCTACATTATTTTTTGTGCCAACCAAACAACCGCAAAACAACATTCTTTTTTTAGATGATGTGTTGCGTGAAAGAAGAAGGGGCATTTGCATACATAACATCGAATTCATACGTATTTACATATATAATAAACTCTACCTTTTATATTTATATCACTCGAATCTTTCATATCACATAAAAAAATGTTACTATTTTAACGTTTAAAATGTGAAATACACCTTTTATGCATAAGTAAGGTGACATATATGCAGAAATTGAAGTTTAGGTGTTAAATATAGTTTAGGTGGGTGTTAAATATATAAATACATAGGAATTGAATGGTATGCATGTAAATCTTCCAAAAGAAAAGCTTAATAAAATGGCAATATTTTAGGAATTGTTACAAGGAGTGCCATATCTATAGAACAACCAATATATCTATTGCTGATGACACAAACCTATATTAGTTGCTGATACATTACTAAAAAAATTAGCTGACTGAACAAGAATTTTGGTGCAGATTTTTAGAATTTAAATCACCCAAAAAAACCAAATAAAAACTTTCAAATCAAACCTGCGATGACCTAAACTTAGATTTTGGTAAACTTAAGTCAAAATAGATGTTTTAATGAGATATTTTGCATAATACTAAGAACATCTTGTATTGTTCATATAAACTCAAACCAGGCACCCGAAAGTATAGAAAAAAGCTTCATAAGATCATTTGAAGGACCAAATTACTTTCAATTTTTGTGTTTTTATAATTGAAATGAATTTCCCCATGAGATAAATCAATTGTGCATTAGATGATACAATTCTGAGTTACTTAAGTGTTGACCTCCATGTATGTGCCAAAACTAAATTGATCTGATGCAACAATGATGGTGGGAAAGGACACCATGCTGCATGATTTAGACTAGAACACACTGATTGTAATCAAATTCATGGAATTATGACTCATTTTTTAAATTGATTAAGTTGCTGCATCTGAAACACTGAACTCTACTAAAAGATTACATGGTCGATTTGGTCAAGCATGATGATAGAAATGATAAATTACAATGTGCCAATTAATTTTGATTTACGTTGATTTTTGCCAAGATCACTCATTCGTGCTCTGTTAGCAAAACAAATTGATTTGACATGTTTGAGACATCATAATTATTTAGAAAGTACACCTATATTATCGAGTCTTTGCTCGCAAGTTGTCATCATGCATTTTAAAGCAAATGTATAACTTGAGGTATCATGCAAGTCGAGATGCATGAGCATTACCTCAAATATGTAATTCATCATTTCTACCAATATGTATACCTATTTATTTAAATGCTTGATTAGCATTAATCAACCTCTAACTACTTTACATGACCCTAGAAAATATTTATTTAATAAGTATTCAAATATATATATATATATATAAAGTTAAAATTTACATCCCACTATACTTATCCCTGCAAAATTTCTTCCAGATCCATAATATTTGCATGCAAGCGGGAAAAAAGAGATTGAAAAGTGTTTCAAATTATAATATTGCATATGTATCAAATTCAAAATAGTAATGCTAGCTTCCAAAACTAGAGAAAATTTATGTATCTTCAAGTCTCTTGATGCTACTTTCAATGCACTTGACAAATTTAAATGTTTTTAAAATATGCCCATGTTGTGAGAATATGTTGAGGTTCTTTGAATATCATGCTAGTCCGATCCTCCTCCAGATAAGAACTGAATTAGACAAGGTTGGACACATAGTAAACTAATATGGTCTTTTTCCTACAGTTGACAGGATTTGAGAAGATTAATAACTCAAGTACATTCGAATAATAAACTTCAATCAAAATGTAAATTTAAACAAAATGCAAATGTAATTAATCTTATTGCCCTCGATGACAATAATGTTGATTTTGAATCACTATTGGAGGGGTCTATTTTCAAAATTCAACTTTGAAGTATATTTGAAAAATTTAAGTTATACAAGTTGTTATCTTGATCATTTGCACGCAAGACAAAGTTGATAAGATTCAAAATCATCCAAAGTCCAGATGATAGCCATGTGAGATATGAATCTCAACCAGAGAGGATATTTTCGTAAAATATCTTAAATCAAAATAAATTCTAATGAATTTTATAAAATTCATAAATATTTCAAAATTAAAGGAATTCTCAATTGAAATTTCTCATATAAAAGGCTAAAAAAAAATGTCATCGACTATTCACTATCATTTGTTTACATTTGTTGAAGGTGATGAAATTGATGTTAATCTGAGCTCATATATAGCTAATGTCGTATTAAATATACTACTATATCTACGTTCAAAATAATGTGTCAGTAAGGATATGATCTTAGTTCTTTGTCCTCACTGTTTGCCAAAGTCTTATGAACTGGTGGTTTGACACAACGATCCTATTGTATTATAATCATCTTTGTAGTCTGTATGTTCTTGAATAATTTTTTTTTAAGCTGTGAATTGTAAAGTATACTTGAAAAGACACAAAGATTTTCTTAGTTAAGGCCGACTTGCATTTGCCCTTTAGAAAAACATCAATCCCTAGTTTACCAACTTCTTTTGAAAGAAGCAACTCATGGCTCCTGACTAAGATCCTTCGATCAAGTTGGGCCAATTCACTTGCCTAAATAGAATAGGAACTATGACAACTCGAGATAACAAAACTATGAGATCTTGATTGAGTCTGTCATCATTCCCTCATCATCCGCTCTAATAAGCTCATGATGATAAATTTCTACAATAAAAGATATAGTTGTTACTATTATTCACCGAGCAATTAATACCTTACTTACTAACCTTAACTGAAAGTGCTCTCTCATTACTTGAAGGGGTAATTAACCATAGAGAATATTTGCACCTAAGGGAAACTTCAAAAAATAAGTGCAAATTTATAGGCAGTTTTTGCAATTTAATTTGTCTTCCAAAAATTTGACCCACCGGAGCCTACATAAAAGGGTGGCTGAGGAGCGAATCTTCAGAACCCACAAAATGATAATAATTTACTTAAGTCACGTGTCTTACATGTTGGACACATCATTTCAAATAAAAGTAAATCCATTTCTCAATTCAGCCTCATAATCCACACAAGGTAAACTACCATAATGTGCCTTCGTATGCGAAACCTTTGAATTAGTAATTGTAATAATTACAGGAGCTCCTAATGTTTATGTTGTCTAGTTAGTTTACCGCTATATGATTGGCATTTTCATGAAATTTAATTTTGTTAGATGGATGCTGAATTTTGCAGGATCTTTTCAAAGATAAAGGTAGATCTATAAGTCAGTGGCTTTACATTGGGGGCGTCAAAGCGTTTGCTGATGGATCTTTGGGATCTAACAGTGCACTGTTCCATGAGGTGATCCAGATACTGCCTACCGATTGTTTAGAAAACTGGGTTTATTCAACAATCAAGTTAACGAATGCTTATTTTATTTAATTTTTTCTTATGAGCAGTTGTTTCTTATTTACAGCCCTATAAGGATGATCCTCATAACTATGGTTTGCAAGTGTCAGATTTTGACTGGTTATTGAATGCCATAGTAGAATCAGACAAATCTGGACTTCAGGTAATATATCTTTTATAGAAGTTTAATGTCGTGATAAATAAGCCCCTATCATGAAAATTGTGTATAATTGAAATGAGAATGCTATGATGTATATGTAACAGATAATTCAAAATCATTGAGAATAATTATATTAGAAAACTAGTGATGGTGGTATCACTCGTAGGTAAGATGGTAAAAATAAATTTGGCTAATTATGGCATATACAATAAAAACTAGAAGATTCATCAATTAGATGGGTAAATATCGGAGAAGGAAGCAGGATATGCCAAAGGTTACTTGTTTTGGAATTGTCATGATGGTTCATGAAGCTTTTAATATTAATCAATTGATCTTGATGATTCATGAAGCTGGTTTCAAAATGCTGGGATGAGGTTAATGATGATGGTAATGATAAGAGCTTTTATGCTTCTATTATAAAATCCTAGATAATAATTTATTTTCTTGCAATTTTCAGGTTGCAGTGCATGCTATTGGAGATAAAGCAAATGACATGGTATTGGATTTGTTTAACTCGGTGAAATCTGTTAATGAAGCTAGAGATCATAGATTCAGGGTATGTTTTGCTTTGCTTTTTGATTTTCTGAAATGTCGATATAGTCATGCTTGCTTAAACATGATTTTTCTTACAACAATGCTGATGTCAGAAAGAATATAGTTAATTGAATTTTCGAAATTCAGATTGAGCATGTTCAACATCTAGTGCCAGAATCAGCAAGCCGTTTTGGTGCTCAAAATGTTATTGCCTCTGTGCAGGTAAAAGGATTAAAGCATAAAAAAAATAATGTTTTTTTTGTTTTTTTAATTATTTATCCATTTTAGATGCTCATTTTAGTTTATCATTCTTGGTCTTGAAAATCCTAGATACTACGAAGAACAAGTGATAGCGGGTTTAACCGGCAACAATGGGAAAAAAACAAATATTATTACAAAAATCAAATAGGAACTTACAACCACAAAACACAGAAATCCGAATTGCAACATACACATCACTAACTCCCGGTAGGGTTTGATCAAATGGGTGGTGGAGTTGTTTAGTGACGGTCTGGATGGTGTTTGGGTGTTGGAAGGCGCAGTGGGCAAGTAGGAACAACAATTTTGAATTAGTCCCGTTCGTTTATAGGATAGACGAAGCGAAGAACCGTTGAAGGAGAAATGATGAGTAGTAGAAAACGAACAGAAGGGAGAGGAAAGCG